CATGCACTCGGATGAAACTTCCGTTCAAGATTTGGGGAATTAAATTCGCAATACAAGAGTAGTAAAGTTATTTGAGAAACCTTTTGACAACAATCCTTCACAATGACCTTCTGTTCCGATGGCCTCACTTGTTTCTACCTTAATCCATAAGTGGAAGAGAGATATGGATTTGAAACAGTTCTCACCAAAAGGGGACTTACACTTTTGCATACCACTTATCGCGTAATTAATTTTGTTTAGAAAAATAATTTTACGTATTTTTAAAAGGTGATCAAAATTCATCATTTATTTATTTATATCAAATGGCAGGCGTTTTGATAGTTATCATTAGCCCTGGAGCTGATTTCGGGGCTTCCAAGAGAAGCGAAGGGACATCAAAGTGACAAAAAGTCGAGATAGAAGACTGAATAATGATTTACAGAGGTAAAAGAGACAGACAGACACAAAGGTATAAATAAGTTAAGATGAGTACTGTGGAAGGGGTCGAATATGACAAATAGCCGGGCCATAGAAATTTGAAGTCAGAAGTGAACTGCCGGTTTATAGACTTTTTGCCGTATAAGTATACGCTGCCCAGGGTGCACCACATGGAGGTAGGTCTATTGCGCACCCCGTATTCATCATATTGTCAATTAAAAGAATATGTTGCAATGACTGATTGGTCAACATGCACACTGCAATTTGAAAATGGAGATGCGAAGTATGCTCTTAATTTTCATTTCTGATAGGCTATTCGAAAGGAATCAGGCTTAATACTAGCAGGTTAGGTGCGTTGGGGTATGATCATTACTCCTACACTGCAAATCACAATGCAGGATGAAGAAAGAATGTGTTAGATATCAAGTGCGCTTTATGGGGGAAGATTTTTCATTAACATTTAAACAGCCTTACTTTAAATAAAATTAGTATAGGATTGGGAACAAATCAAATTCATTTGTTTCGTTTGCTAGTTTCCTCGCCATTAGAAGAAAAATCTAACTTTTGACAGCAAACACCTCGACTCCATTCAATTTTTTTAAATTATTTAATTCTTCTTAAGTCGTTTGATATCGAACAGCTGTGTAAGTGGGATCGGAAAACCATCCATACAAAAAGCAAAACACCAAATGCTGATCATCAGTATTGAGAGCCAATACTGACAGAAACGAACTTGGACACCTCCATGCCTAAGATGTAACTAAACATTATTATGGTATCAGATAGCAAGCTTTATTATAGTTATCATTAGCCCTTAAGTTGACTTCGGGCTTCACAGAGGGGAGGGACATCAAAGTGAGAAAAATTCGAGAGAAGGAGCAGAAGAGTAATTCACAGATGTAAAAGAAACAGACACAATGGTATAGAAAAGAGTAAGGTGAGTACTGTGGTAATGGTAGAACATGACATGCAGTGGGGTCATGGTAGTTCGAAGTCAAAAGTCAACTGCAGAATAATAGACTTGTTTGCCGTATGAATGAACATTGCCCAGGGTGCACCACGTGGTGGTAAGTCTATCTCACACTCCTGTAACTGACCATAATGCCACCAAATTCTCCGGCTTTAAAGTCTTAGTGTATAATGAGAGACCAATCGTAGCTCAACTTATGCTGAAATCGCTGAACAGCGATTTTATAGTCTCCCAATTCACAGCCCTTTCCCCTTAGAAGTAGTACATCATTTGTCCAAATCAAATCTCTAGTACACAATCCACAGAGGGATCGGGCAATAAATATTAACTTAATTAGAAAATTTATATAGTATTAATGTGAAAAGATTAAAAAAAACATGCGATATAGATAATCACGGCGACTAACGCTGTTAAAATTTTTATTCACGATTTGTGGCCAATATTGAAGTCAATTTAAACAGCATTTTATTGTCTGAAAAGAAAATGAAGATTTTGCCCATTTAAGCCACATAAAAGTCAAGAATATTTGAAACGTCGATCAGAATGTCGTCCGCATAGTTAATATCACTTTTAGTTTAAACCTCTTCATAAGGTCGTTTGAAATAGTAAAAACGTACTTTCTTCGAGGTGAGAAAGGAAAATTCAATTATCCCAATTCCAGTGGATCAAGTTCCCTACACACCTTTTCCCGCACTATTTCCTTCCTGCTTAAGATGAGTGTCCGCTTGTCCGATTTGCTTATTGCATTCCATTCTTATTTATAAAAAGGCTGGTACGCACATATACCATTTATGTATTGTCAACGAACGTATTCATAGCTTGCATTCTTTTACTTGCCACTTGACAAATGCCTCAATGACATATCCTTATTCACTTCACGATATCACCGTCGCTACTATTACCCTAAGTGTCTAGTTACCATCAACACATGCGACTTTATTTCCCTATTCTAATCAATTCTTAACTATTTAATTGTTGTTATTTACCATTTCACTAAGTCTTCCCACTGTGCTTCTCATTTCTATTAGACCTTTATCAACAAAGTTATTTGGCACTCAGTGAATTGATTTCTTGCCTAACTTATTAGAAACCGCTGTTATCGAATAATACATTTTTAATTAAATTGGTGACTGCTTTTACAGCAAATAATAGACACTATGTAAATGAATATCAGTTTTAATGCAATTCCGCTTTCGGAGAATGCTCTCGATTTCCTTAGAGCAGACTTTTTAAATCCTGAGCATCATCAGGAGTTAAAACAAAGAAGCAGTGTGACAAAGCACTCTCCGCAGACAGGCGTTGCCATCCAATAAGTAGAATGCATTGACTAATTAATTGGATTGCAGGCAGTGGTATAACCTCGTCAGAAAGTCTCCTTTCAAGAATTCTTTTTTGACCGGGGGCGTAATTCTTTACAACCTCGTACATTTCGGTGCCTTCAACACCAGGCAGCGTTTTCTCATTTATTTCACCACAGAGATCAATAATTCCGTGAAGCGTCGGACACTGAATTATAAATAAAATAGTGTTAGGCGTTAAACTGCATGAAATCTAGTGAGTTTTCAATGCTAAAATCATTTTCATTAAATCCAGGCTGTAAGAAGGAAAACCAATCTGAGTATTAAACTAATTACCAATTAATCTCTGGATGCCACACTCAGTAAAGCTTAGAACTTGGAGCTGTAAATTGTTCACGATGAAGTAAAGAAATAACAAATTTAATCTTCTATTGGTAGCATCAAATTTTTCCTTCTACTCAATCTATACTTTACTTGATTTACTGTTCCTTGTATTCAGATTCTTCCATGGATAGACAGAATGTGTGTGTGTATGTATGAATGTATAAAATCTGAATGCAATACCTGAGACCATTGTGTTAATAATCAATATGAAAACTAACCCGTTTGTTAAAAGAACAGAACAGTTAGAGTCATACCAGAAGTGAATTGAACAATGCGCTTACTGGAAATAAAACTGTCCTTGTCCATAATTCTGCCATAATGCAGCCGACAGACCATATGTCAAAGGATTCATCATAATTCTTCATTCCCAAATGTTGTTCCGGTGGTGCATAGACCTCCGTACAAATAACCTTTGTATATGGACCAGGTTGCGCATCTAGATGTTTGAATCGTGCTGTCCCAAAATCCGTAATCTTTAAAATTCCATTTTGGTTTATTAGTATATTTTCCGGTTTCAAATCTCTGTGCATTATTCGATGTCTAGGAAACAAATTTTAAACAATAAACTTTCAATAATAAAGGTTAAGTTATTAAATGTTTGCGCGATTTATAAGTGTAAGGGACATTGATCAAAATATATCAATCTGGTCAACGTATACGTAGGTCTTATCGACAGACCACAAATTAGAACATCTAAAGAAACAAACGATATCTCAATATTTTGTTGAAACTTCAGTCAACACAGTGTTGAAGATTTCAAAACTTCAGTACAGCAGTCATTGGAAAAAGGTGCTTTACCTATGTAGGAAGCTTAAACCAGTAAGAAGCTGTTTCATTATGCATCTTCTCTGAGAATCGTTGCGAATTCTTTCGTTTATCAAAACTTCACGCAAATTGCGCGAACACAACTCCATCACCAAAGTGATAAAGGGTACTACTTCAGAACATGAAAGTCCTAAAGGTTCAAACACACGATTGGCACTTACTTGCATGAACACACATAAAATATAAGTTAATGATATTTTCATGCTTGAGCATATTCGTAAACCATAAATCCCGAATGACCGCAATTTTAATGTAGCCTTTAGGATCTTGAAGACAGCTCAATTTTTTAGCTGCCACATTTGTCCCATCATTCTTCAGAACCGCCTTGTATACCTGACTATATGCTCCGTGACCAATTTCATTTCGATCCCAAACAATATCGCAAGAAGGTAGTATTTTTAAATCAACAGAAAAATTCACATAATCCTTAAATAATTGCTGTATATACTTTTCCCAAACATCTAGGTGCTTTTGTTCAAACGGGCGAAAGGTCATCGTCCTTGTCAATTGAATTAACACTTAATGTTATCCTTCAGTTACTCCCTCCAATAGTTCATACAAAGCTTACTAGTATATATTTATTTAAAGATTCGGTTTTAAAAATACTTATATAATTTACAAACAGCTTCAATTAAATTAAAATAAAACCTGCTTGCTTCTGTGAGCGATATTAAATTCTTCGTAAACTTAGAAAGAAAGACCTTGATAAATATAAAAAAATCAAGTCAAAGAATTAAAGATATTTTCTAAGTTTCAAATCTGATCTCTCTAAGGCTGCATGACTTGTCTATAATAAATGGAATTCATACTTTGTTACGGACTCAAAATTTAAATATAATTAGAGAAACTAATGGTTGCGGATTTTCATGAAAATAGGAATATGAATTAAAATTTTTACCTTCATGTGCTTAAACAAAATACATTCAAGAGCTTGAATACGTTTGCTTGTAAATATTGTTATATTGAATTTGAATTAGGTCAAGGAACCGATATTTAGTACGTTTTAAAGTGATGATAATACACGTGTCAGAACAAATATACTTGAAGATATTGTAGTAAATTCATTGTTGTTACTTTGCTCAGCTTTTACTAATAAAATCTACAGCTTACTTAGCATTTTTATGAACTTGATCAAAACATTGCTTATCAGTGCCAAATAGAAAGGCTGTGGAGTAAAATTGCTAGAAGAGTAGGAGGAATATCAGCTTATTAGAGAAATTAACGAGAATAGAATATGGTTGAGAATTATTTTAAGAATGTTGCATTAGTTATTATTCAAATATTCTCTAATTCATTGTAACTTTATGCAGAATCGTTTGAAATAATTGGGCATTCAGATTTAAGAAATTCTTTCTTAGTTATTAAACAATACGTTCAAGGTTTCTAGGGAGTTTATAAAATTTTAATTAACGAAAATAAATAGAGCTAGCTCACACCTTGGGCATCTATTCTATTATAATGATGCTTTATACCCTTTTGTCCTTTTGGAAATAGACACCAATTTTGTGTGTATTTAACGATCATATACATGAAAATTCTACACTATTATTTAATCTACTTTCTAACATCAAAAATTTGATATACTTGGTGGTGGTTTGTTGAGCCATAACACTATCAAGACTGACCAAAGACATCACAACCGTATTCAGTCTCGAAGGTGTGGCCGGGATTGCAGAGGCCTCTCTGTCAACCATCAGTCAGTAGTCATTCCATTGTAAGCTAACCTCAGTGGTATTTTAATAACATTTTAAGGCAACCTTCCACATTCATAATGTTTGCCATCCAGCCCATACGTTCTGTGTTCTCGATGTTATTTAGGCAGTTATTTTAATTTCGGAATCAATTTCATTTTGCAGATATTGTCAAGACTAATGTCATAGACTCCGCTACAGGCTTGCACAGATTAGGAAATGAAATAATTTCTGTAAATGAATGCGAGGAAGTTACTCTGGAGAAAAAAGAATATCTATCTCTTGTAAGTGGTTGACATATACCCATCTACGTTGCTACAGCATGGTTCATTATAAAAGTCAAAAATGCGAGAATATCCGAAATTGGTCGCTCTGTGAGTTAAAATGACATCTTTCGTTAGTTGATTTAATCGAGTGAGAATACAAGTAGACGAAAAAGGAATGTATTTTCATTATCATTAAAGTGCCATACCCAAAAGCCACCAAAGTGCAGCAAAATCTCTGGTTGACAAATGTCTTAGCGCATTCTTCAAATCAGACTGATTTGTAAAAATACCGAATCATGCTCTCCCATTTCTTTGTAATGACTTTCGAATGGTACTATGTCATGCACAAATAATTTGCATCAACCTAATCCTGATAATATTAGGCAAAAATAATGCAGTATTCTGTATTGGTGTTTTACAATTAGTATAAATCAAGTGATTCAGCATTCTTATTTATGAAAATAAAAGTGAAATATATTTGCTTATTTAAAATAGAGTTAACTTAGTAGGTGAAAAGGCTCTTTAAATCACTATCTGGAGCTGGTGGCTGGGTTAAGAAGTCGTGACTTAACGCATTTAAGGCGGAGATGCGTTTAGATGGGTTGATTTTCAATAATTCGCTGATCAAATTACAAGCTTCATTCACGACGTTCTTATGTCTCAACTTTACTTCAAGAGCGTTTGAACCTGCACTAATCTCGGAGTGATATGAACCATAATTTTGGCTGCGTTCGGCACCGGGAAGTGTTGCTTCGTTTATTCCACCACAATAATAAGCTATTCTTTTGAGAATTTCAAGATTATCATCTCCCTACAAATTTAAGACAACTTCATATGAAATTTTGAAATTGTATTTCAAACATGTATTATGGCAAAATAGAGTTTTACCTTGAATAACACTTGTCTAAGCCACAATTCTGCTATTACGCATCCCGCTGACCAAATATCAAACGTTTGATCATAATTCGCCAGCTTTAAGAGTAACTCAGGGGGTGCATATGAAGGCGAGCCAATTAAAGGTGAATAATTTGGGTTAGTCGGATCTTGAAATCTGGCAGTTCCAAAATCAGTTAATTTTAAAATGCCGTCTGCATTTATGAGTAAATTTTGTGGCTTCAAATCTCTGTGCATAATGCCCGCGCTAAAATTTCGAATACAGATCTAAATTTCCTACTAACAATACACATGCGATTCTTCGTGTAAAGTGATTTGTATATATCGTTAATATCTTACCTGTGTAAAAAAGATAATCCCTTCAGGAAATGTTTGATTATGCATTTTCGTTGGGAATCCTCGTTAATCAATTTGTTTGTAATAAGTGTGTTTAAATTGCACACACAGAGTTCCATGACGATGGAAATAGAGGGATTGATAATTCTACCTCCAACAACTAAAAAGTGTCAGGCAGCAGCCTTTCTTACCTCCTTTGACACATATTCCCTCTAACTTGACGATATTTTCGTGTTTAAAAATAGTTAAACACCCCAAATCCCGAACAACTTGGAGATTAACTCTACCATCGGCACGCTTTAAGGTTTTTAACTCTTTTACAGCTACATAACCTTCGGTTTGTGGCAGAGTTGCTTTAAAAACCTCTCCAAAGATACCTCGATCTATTGTTTCAATAATTTCATAATTACAATTAGGTGATATTTCTACGCTAAAATTTGGAACAAATTTTCTGAAACAATCTTTGATTATATTCTTTACTTCGTTCAGCTCATGTGGAAGTATCTGGCGAGGCATTTTATTTTAAATTCTACATACTACCTTGAAATATATTTATCGTCCTGGTTTCAAGGATAACCGATACAGTAAAAAATCAACAATGTTTGCCACAGTCTTGTAGATAAAATTTTATAAAAAACTCCCCTATAAAAGTTTAAAAAATCTTATAAGCATTTCGTTATATCAACTTTTAATTCCATGTTTTATTTTCATTAATAAGAATTATCATTAATGAGTAGAAATTTGCTCATAATTCTTATTAAAATAGTAAAGTATAAATACGGTTTGTCACGAATAATGAACTCAAATTAGTATTCAGTTTTTACTTCAATGTAAAAAAATCGAATATTACGAATAGTTAGGGTTAAAGATGATCACCACGAGCGCGTATACACAACTCACCAAGCCTCAACATATTTCAGTGAATTCCTCAATAGTACTACAAGTATTCCTTTTCGATCCTTTGCTATCGTGTTTCTTAGTACATGGATTGTAATATTTTTCACCCTTAATCTGTACCCCCGCATGTGTGATTACTTTAACAAGTCCTGTCATGTTGTTCGCTTGATATATGGTTGGGCGGATTGGTGTCTAGTGTATGGCTGCGATAGCCATTAGCGACTGGACCTATGCTCTATGTTCAGCAACCATTTTCTAAGCTCTAATTTTAGCAGGAACAATAGTCTGAGGCTATTTCGTAGTAAACCTTTCAAACGATTTGCTTCCAAGATAATTTCGACTTAAAGTCATATTGTATAGCATTTGAATCACAGTCGTTATCAGCAATTAGTAAAGAAACACTGTGCAATACACAGCGCTAAATTTCCGCTAGATATCACGTGATAATGCGGAAGTGCTCAATGCTAATTTATTTTGGCCATAATGTAAGAAAAATTTTATTTCGAAAATTGCTTACAAGATTGCTTATTGATAATAACTATTTATTTGTAACTTTTAGTGGAGTGAATTCGTGATATTCCTATTCTAGCTCATTTAGGTCAATTTAGTGTTCACTCCGGCTACACTTTCCACTTCACTTCCTATGTCGCCTCTTATTCATATTCATTCGTGAAATTATTGCCCTATTTCATCGCAACTCTAGAAAGGCAATTAGAACTCGAGCTACTTCAATTTCTCAACTTATGGCGTAAAATCAAATTGATTTGTGCAACTAAATAAGTGAATTACTTCCATTAATTTTAACCTACAGTCATTGAGAAAAACACCACGGTAACATTAAGAGCAGCTTATTCAACTCTGAATTGAATAATATGTGGCAAATGTGCTAAATTAAGTTTAAAGTTGCTTAAATTTGCGCAATAAAACTATGTCTACAATGTTTCGGAATTGAGATACTCTGCTTTAAAGATGGACAATTTATAATTTGTCAACAAGGCTACAATTGACCTTGACTCGGGTAGAGAAGACCTCGATGGATGCATTTAAATAGATTATCGAAATCAATTAACAAATAAATTTGTCTTCCCTCTTTTATGTAATTTTGAAAGGAAATTCGAGGCCAGACCGACGATGTAGATAACGACTCAGAGATCGACTGCTGCGCAAACTCTTCAGGCACAGTGAAGGAGGCAACTGTGTAAGTTTTCTTTGTAAAATATTCATGAATATTTCATTTCACTTTATTACAAAGGCTAAAAGCGACCCATTCAAAATCCTTCAGTATCCACTGCAAATACTGCATGCTGCCCGTCTGATCTGAACCCATCAAGGCTACCAAAGTCATTGCTGAAATTTATGGTCAAGGGTTTCCAGTGGGTAGATGCACATTTTGGTTTAAACAATTTAAGTCCACAATATAAATTGATATGTTGTTCCGAAATCAGGACGATCAAAACATTTTGACGATGACGTATTTAAACGTGCTATTGAATTGGATTCTCGATTAAATTGTGAAAGGTTATTGCAGAAATAACATATCCATCGTCAACCATAAAATTCCACAAGAGGTTCAGTAGTGCGTTGAATTGGATTGGGATTTGAATGCTGATGTAAAAACTCGCCTATAAAATTTATTTATATCAAATGGCAGGCGTCTTGATAGTTATCATTAGCCCTTTAGTGGACTTCAGGGTCCACAGAGGGAAAGGAACATCAAAGTGAAAAAAGGTCGAGATGGGGGGGGGGTGGAAAAGAAGATTGTTTCAAAGATGTAAAAGTGACAGACACAAAAGGTATAAAAAAGGTGAGGTGAGTAATGTGGAAGGAATCAAATATGACATACAGCGGCATCATGGTAGTTGGAGTTAACTGCCGGTTAATAGACTTTTTTGCCGTATGAGTATACGTTGCCCAGGGTGCACCACGTGGAGATAAGTCTATCGCGCACACCCGATCCTTAATAAATAAAAGAATAAACAACAGGTAATATGCTATTGATCCCGCAACTGTGATCTGATCGGATTAGGGGCCATGTGCGTCGTGAACGCTGGGGCCTCTGGGCCAATCGACAGCCACAACCCGGGCAACTAAAACTGCAGTGGCTCAAATAAACGCATTCCACGTCATACTTTGAGGTAGTTGAATTAATAGTTAATTGGTAAATGGAGACAAATGGAAATGGTTGGGTATCCACTTTTTCCCCTAAGAAAACATAAATTGACTCCATTTTTAACACTAAAACGGTGTCGCAAATTATACTAAGGCTAAAGCTCTCCAAAGAGNCTTTGTGTCTGTCTATTTTACACCTTTGAAGCATTCTTCTCTTCCCTTCCCTCTCGACTTTTTCTCATTTTGATGTTCCTCCTCTCTGTAACGCCCGAAGTNGGAAAAGAAGATTGTTTCAAAGATGTAAAAGTGACAGACACAAAAGGTATAAAAAAGGTGAGGTGAGTAATGTGGAAGGAATCAAATATGACATACAGCGGCATCATGGTAGTTGGAGTTAACTGCCGGTTAATAGACTTTTTTGCCGTATGAGTATACGTTGCCCAGGGTGCACCACGTGGAGATAAGTCTATCGCGCACACCCGATCCTTAATAAATAAAAGAATAAACAACAGGTAATATGCTATTGATCCCGCAACTGTGATCTGATCGGATTAGGGGCCATGTGCGTCGTGAACGCTGGGGCCTCTGGGCCAATCGACAGCCACAACCCGGGCAACTAAAACTGCAGTGGCTCAAATAAACGCATTCCACGTCATACTTTGAGGTAGTTGAATTAATAGTTAATTGGTAAATGGAGACAAATGGAAATGGTTGGGTATCCACTTTTTCCCCTAAGAAAACATAAATTGACTCCATTTTTAACACTAAAACGGTGTCGCAAATTATACTAAGGCTAAAGCTCTCCAAAGAGGGATTCATGCCTCTATTTTCCTTTTAAAAACAGCTTGACAATGAAATTTAATCTTTCCGAATTATCGATAAAGGTAAATACATTCAGGCCTTAAACGGGTTGCTACATTAATAAGCCTTGACTATGCTCAATAACCTCTGTGCTCTATGCTTGGAAAGACTCGCAGAACTAGCTAAGCTATGGAGGAAGCAGACTTATCACACGGAACACGTTTACTTGGGATGTGTGATAGTGGGCGTATGTGCAGACAATTAGCTGGTAGTTATATTAATATTTATTTATACCAAATGGCAGACGGTTTGATAGTTATCATTATCCCTTTAGTTGATTTCAGGCTTCACAGAGGGGAAGGAACATCAAAGTGAAAAAATGTTGAGAGGGGGGGGGGAAGTAAGAGTGTTTCAAAGATGTAAAAGAAACAGACACAAAGGTGGAAAAAAGTTGAGGTGATTACTGTGGAATTAGTGGAATTTGACAGAGTGGGGAGAGGGTAGTTTGAAGTGAGAAGTCAACTGCCAGTCAACAGACTTTTTTGCCGTATGAGTATACGTTGCCCAGGGTGCACCACGTGGAGGTAAGTC